GCAACGCTAAGACGATATTATTGCCGTATTACATTCATAAAAATGGTAACAAACGCGTACGGTATTCAACGAATCTTCGGTCGGACGAATGTTCAATATTCTCGATAAATAATAGGATGCGAATCAAGGAATCCATGTCTAAAGACATTTCCGTCCTTAGATGGCGTTACTCGTATGCGCCTGCAGTTAGACTGTTCCGCAAAACATGTCATTCGCCGATATGCACAATAGATGTCGCTAGTAGTCGACGCCTGAAATGTATGCTGTGCCGCTGGGCTCTGATCGTAGCGGGAGGCCGCTCACGTCTCGCAACGGGCAATTTAGGTTAATTGGCAAATCAGTAGTCTTACAAATACCATTTCTGAGACTCTTGCTTCTTCAGCTGATGCGTATAAAACAAAGAACGATGGGTACCTATGCTGTTCTAAGAAACAACTGGAGAGATTTATTGCAGTTGATGAATCGTGACCTTTTTGCCGTTTGATCATATTACGGTTCGGTGAATCATCTTTATTCATTTCCATGTATACCATTCCAGCTGCTTCTGAAGCCCAAGTACAGTGGAGTGGAGAAGATCAAGACGATCGGCAGCACGTATATGGCGGCGGCGGGCCTGCAGCCGGGTCAGGAGAAGGACCGCGCCAAGCACGAGCACAACGTCATCACCCTGGTGGAGTTCGCCACGGCGCTGATGGCCGCGCTCGACTCCATCAATCGGGAGAGCTTCCAGAACTTCAAACTGCGCACCGGTCAGTCACGGCAGTATTCTAACGCGTGGTGTATTTTTTATTATCCAGGGGGAAGGATGGCTCTCGGGTTCTCGGCTCTTTCAGACAATGTGTTTTCTTTTTTATAAATAGCTGAGCACATTTTTCATCTAATGCAGATGCATTTATTGCCCCTATGCACAGTGGGGATTTTTCCGATCTAGCGCCTATTAATTCAAAAAATATTTTTGGGATTTTTGTTTATTTTTTTGTGTCAGTAGGGCTAAGAAATGTCTGAATTTTTCATATATGGCATTGTTTTATCTGTATGTCCACAGCAAAACTAGGAAAAATGCGCCCAAAGTTCACACTCATGCGTGATTACTCAATGGGCTCAGCAAGGCCCGAAAGTATAGCTCAATTTCATTGTCCTGTCCTGTTGGTTTTAATCTTGCGAGGTCTTAAAGTTGCATATCGTCTGAAAGGCACCTTTATTAGGAATGGAATGGCAAACAGAAAGTATGCCACAACCTTACTAAGGTCACAAAAATGCCCTTTACAAAAAACCCTTACAGACACCATATTGAAGGAATGGTATTCTGAATAAATGTAGGAAATCAACAATGTTTTCCACACTTTTCTACTCCGAAATATATCCTATCGAATTCGCCACTTTCTTCTGCACAAGACAACGCCTAGTTTGGCTGCCGAAACTTGCCTGAACATGGAATATTCACATTAGAGTGTTTTAACACCCCACTCGAGGAGCGCTAGGGCAAACAGCACGATATAGGTATGTTCCGGACATAGGCGAATAATTTTACTTCGTGATTTATATGATGCATATTTTCTGAGACACATTCATTAGGAATAGGATGACAAGCGTAAACTATACATACCGTAACCTTATTAACCATCGCACTTGTGGGGAGGGGGAGGGGGAAGGGGTCGGATAAAACCCCATGGTTTTCCGCAAATTACTCGCGCAAAAAGCGGCCGATCGCGCCGAAACTTTCGGTACCCTCGAGATCATCAATTTTACATCTAACCTAAAAATTTCATGACTCTGACCCAACTGACCTTTGACCTGTGGCATATTTCTCGAGACCATGTTTGGCCGGAATCGCGATTCGGCGTATGCCAGCTCACATTATCCGCGGTTTCCAGTCTTTTTGTGGTTTTAAACGTTCAAATATGTGAAATGATGTTGGTGCCATGCATAATGGTGGGTGTCAAGGTCACGTGAAGGTCAAGTCAATGTCATTGACCTTTTGATGACCTTGGTTCACTTTTTCGAGTTTTACTTGTTTCTAGGGTAGTTTTTGGTGCTGATTTCGATTTTAGCAGCCATTTGAATATTTACGAAGTAGTTCTAGTGCCTTCGTTCCATGTTACGAAGCTATCAGTAGTAGGTGACACTTCTATGGATGGCCGGCAGGACGCCTACTAATTGATCTAACCTGACCTGACCCGACCTGGCCTAAATGCATAAAGACATCGTCTGTGATCAAAACTAACATGAAATTCGTGATCAGCACCCCAACCCCAAAATACCCCGTAACACCCTAACTTTGCGAAGTTTCAAGAGGTCTCGATTTCCCAACTTTAGTTGGGTCATTAAACTGTTTTGGAAAGTCAGCTTATGACCTTGGACTTTGAAATTGGATATATTCGGCCTAATTTCGTCATAGGCAGCACGCTTGACTTTTCCGCGAAGCTCTAGCTTGATCAGGGGCCAAACGGCTGAGCGGGGGTCCAATTGAACCCCCTATACTATGTTGATTATGCACATTTACAGGTAAAATTATCACCAGGACACACCAGCCAACATCTGTGCACAATCTGGCTACAATTCTACCTATGGTTTGCCCTCTACGAATAAATACGTGCTAGATCGGAAAAATCCCCACTGTGCTATGTGCCAATTCACTCTGCGTGACCCAAACAGTGGCCAGGGTGGTCCTGTTTGTCCCAGTTATCATAACCACTAACCAGGCCGCAGTATCGCACCTTGTGCTCCTGAGCTGAGGTTTCGACCAGTGTGTCGCTGTTTGTCCCAGGCATTGACCATGGTGTCGCCGTTTGTCCCAGGTTTTGACCAAGGCGTCGTTTGTCCCCAGGCATTGACCAGGGCGCGGTGATTGCCGGGGTGGTGGGCGCCACCAAACCCCAGTACGACATCTGGGGCGACACGGTCAACGTGGCCAGCCGGATGGACAGCTGCGGCGTCATCGGACGCATCCAGGTCAGAGCGGGGCACAAAGGTGCAGGTCAGGCCGGGTCACAAAAGGGTGCAGGTCAGGCCGGGCCACAAAAGGGTTCAGGTCAGATCAGGGCACCGGTCGAAACAGTCACAGGTCACATGAGAGGCGCATGCGAAATTGCCAGATCGTGTCACAGATCAGGCCGAGAGGGGTCAGATCAGACCATGTCACAGGTCAGATCGGATCGAATGGGGGAGGGACTCATGTCGAAACCAGCCTCAAATCACGCAGAGATATACATACTACATACACAGTTCAGACGTCATCCATCTGACCCATCCCCTCCTCTCCCGTCAGGTGACGGAGCGGGCGGCGCAGATTCTGCTGGAAGCCGGCTACAGACTCGACTGCCGCGGCTCCATCCAGGTCAAAGGCAAGGGCGCGCTGGTCACCTACCTCGTGCGCACGCCGTTCGACCCCAGCTTCCCCGCGCCGTCACCGGTGCTGGCCTGCCCTCCGGTCCTCCCCGCAGTACAACCGGCAGCTCTACTGGCCCCGCCCGGTGGCCCGCCGATCTCGTCTGCAGACATATCGGCAGGTCTACCAGCACCGTCCGACACATCTCCAGCAGCTCCGCCTGGGACTCAAGTCAGTGACAGTGGTCGTAGTATTCTAGCACCAGAGGCGCATGTGAGCTCCCCAGTGCTAAACGTTGCCGCGCCAGTCATAGAATCCAGTGCGGACCGATCAGAGTCGGCAGCGAAGGACGTCGAACCATCAGCGCCTGAGACGGACGCCGAAAGCGACGAAACCACGGCTCTGATGGGTGTCGAGTCTGTGACGGCGGGGAGGCTGAAAACTCCAGAAAGCCGCTCCGTGCCCCGGACTCTGGCGCTAACAGGTATGGACGGCGCGGCGATGCCTGCCGTCCAGCCGCTGGCAGCCACCCTCACCGCCAACGGCAGCGTGCACAGTCAGCTGGTTCCCGAGACGGCCACCAGGCGGCAGCACCGGCCGCCCAGCTGACGTCTGGAGCGCGGCGAGACGCTCGTCTGAGGGGTAGAGACGACTCGTCTCGGGGAGCTGATAGACGCAGTCGGACCCTTGTAGATGGAGACGGCTGGTCCAGGAGCGTGAAGGGGCCAGAACTGCCAGAAAACTTACTCGACGTGTCAGAGCGGCGGTGCTTCTACGCATATCTCTTACTCGTTGCACCCAAAATCCTGGACCAGGCGATCGAAGCTGCACCTCTTTTCTAGACTCGACGGAGGCCCGTCACCCGTTCTTCTCGTGTCCCGTCAATGGATTATGGGGAACTGGGAGCTGGGAAGGCAACTCCATCCCAAGCCGTGTCGTGAAGCTCTCAGCTCAACCGTTGCCCTCCTCGAACCACACCTCTTCTTCTATGTGTTTCAGTGATCTATGTGCTTTCAATGATCTGAAGACCTCTGGCGATTCCTCCACGCCGACCACCATACACTATCAATGTGAGCGTCAAGGCTGATAAGGACAAAGAGCTGAATGCGAGATTCTGACGTGGCGCTGTGGCGAACTGGCGTTCATGTTACGCCAGGCTGAGGTCAAGGCGGTGACAGTGACCGTCTACTCTGACTAGCACTGTTTCGAGGCGGAGACTGGTAAAGCTGCTGAGACCGACTGAACAAGCATCGGTCTCTCGTCCATGGTCCTGCGCGGCACCGCTGGGTTGGAGGCAGTCGCCACTGCCAGTCACCACCTCTTTCAAAGGTGACGGCGTAACGGGATTGTGACTCGTGTGCACGCGGGGACCCTGTTCAACGAAGGTCCCCACTTCTAACAGGGTATGAAAACGAAGGACAACCGTGGGGTGCGCGCATTGTTGCCATAGTATTAGCGCTTTGTTCGCTCTAAAAGCATGTCACCATTGATGTGCTTCATGTGAGAGATTGTTGCCGAATCTGAATGTCATGCTTAACGGATCAATATCATCAGCATCATCGAACGACAATCAAATAATACAGCTCTCATTGTGTTCCATGTCAACTCTTTTCATGTTGTCTCCTTCAGATATTACGTACTTTCTATGATAGTGAGTAGACTGACAAGCTCATAAAACCACGAGCAACTGGGTTTATTATACGGTACAACATATGTGCATTGTTCGTGATGCATAATCAACACGTCACTTGTTAAACACAAAATCTGATATCACACCATTTGTACCATCATTTACAGAAGAGGCTTGGCTATCCAGATCACATGGCGCCATCTAACTATGGGACTAGCGCAGATATGATCACTTGGTTGCGATATGTGTGTGAGGTCGGGCGGGACGCAGTGCGCCAGTCTCTCTGCCTCACTCACTGACCTGGCACGGTAGCTGTCACGCTATGTCGACTCTCAGTGCAGGCCGGAACCGGCGGACAGCCCTCGCGCGGCCAGCACGCCCGTCGGCCGGCTGACCGGGGTGGCCAGCAGCGGCGGCGGACGGCCCAGCAGCGAGGCGCCGGGTCGCGGCAGCAGGCCGCCGGGCGGTGTGCGGCCGGCGGCAGCCAGCAGCGGGCGGGACAGCACCGGAGAGGTGGCGGCCGATCGTCGGCCCGGGGGCAGGCCAGCCGCCAGCAGCGGGCGGGGCACAGCCGGCCGGGTCGGGCTGGCTCCCAGCAGTCCGGGGCTGCCGCCTGCTCGGCCAGCTCGACCGGCGATAGACACGCTCACAGCCGGCTGGCTCGACTGCGACTGCTGCTGGTAAACAGTTTGCTGGCTCGGCGGACGCTGCCGCACAGACTGCTGCCCCGGCACTGGTTGCTGTTGCTGTGCAGACTGCTGATACAAAGGCTGTTGGCTTGGCGGCGGCGGCGGCGGCGGCTGGTGTGCGAGCTGCTGGCTCGTCTGTGGCTGCTGCTGACCCGACTTTGGTTTCGGCTGGGTCGGTGGCAGCGGTATCTCATGTACGGACTGCTGCCCCAGCGGCGGCTGCTGATGGCCAGATTGCTGGCTTGGCGGCGGCTGCTGATAGCCAGAGTGCTGGCTAGGCGGTGGTTGCTGATAGCCCAGTTGAACGTTTGGCGGCGGCTGCTGGTGTCCAGGCTGCTGGTTCGGCAGCGGCTGGTGTGCTGACTGCTGTTGTTTAGGCTGCTGGGGTGTCGGGTGCCGGACGCACAAAGGTTGCGGGCTCGGCGGCGGCGGAGGCTGACGAACGGACTGATGATACCCAGGCTGCTGACTAGACGGCGGCTGCTGATACCCGGGCTGCTGATGTGTGGACTTCTGGGCATAAATAGACTGCTGGTTTGGTGACGGCTGTTGCTGTGCGGTCTGGGGTCCAGGCTGCTGGCTCGGCGGCTGATGCTGGTACGCTCGGGACTGCTGGCTCGTTGGCGGCTGCTGGTGCGTCGGCTGCTGTAAGGACTGCTGGATAGTGGGTGGTGGCCGCTGATACACCGGTGGAAACTGGTATATTTGCTGCTTCTGCTGCGGCGGCGCCGGCTGAGGCGCAGCGATACTGACACTATTTTGTTGAAGATCGTGCTGCTGCTGCTCCTGCTGCTGCTGCTGCTGACTAGTCTGCGGCCGGTAGGACGGCGGGCCGACCGGCTGGGGCGGAGCAGTCTGATGCGGTCCCGCCGGTGGCTGTTGCAGCTGGTGAGTCTGAGAGGACGGAAGACCGACTGGCTCGGGCGGAGCCGCCTGGTGCAGTCCCGCCAACGGCTGGTGCAGCTGGTGAGACTGGCTGGACGACCGGCCGACCGGCGGGGGCGGGGCAGTCTGGTGCAACTGGTGCTGAAAAGGCGGCGGGTACGCCGGGAACAGATGTTGGGTCGACGGCGCCTGCTGGGGCTGGCGCTGAGCCGGGATCTGGGGCGGCTGGTGCTGGTGATTAGCCAGCGGCTGGTGCAGCTGGTGACTGGCCAGCGGCTGGTGCTGTTGAGCGGCCAGCGGCTGGTTCAGTTGGTGCCCCTGCAGCCGATGACTCGGTACTGGGGGCGGCTGGTGTAACATCTGCTGGCTGGGCGGCGGTGCCGGGTAGAAGAGCGGCTGCTGGCTCGTCTGCTGGCTCGTCTGCTGGCTCGGGGGCAGGGTCTGGTAGAACACCTGCTCCGGAGGAGGGTAACACGGAGTGCCTACCGTCTGAGGTTGAACCCCGGTAGCCTGTGGACCGCTCCAGGTCTGCTGAGAAGCCGTCATCCATAGTTGGTGCCGTGGATCGGTCATCCCGGCTGCTTGGCCCACTGAGGGTTGCTCAGTTAGCTGGGGGACCCCCGGCGGCGGGGGCTGGCTCAGGAGCGACGCTGGACTGGCAGGAACGATGCCACAATGACTAGTGTCCATGGGAGGTAGGTGTGGAGTTGCTGGCTTGGGACAAGGTCCCATCACATTCGTTTGGCGAGGATCCACTGGTAACCCTTTGGGTGCATTTGAAAGCTGACGAGGATCCTTAGGAAGGTTTGTATCCAGTGACATATTCTGACAGGGACCCATCACATTCGCTTGGCGAGGATCCACAGGTGCCCGCTTGGGGTCATTTGGACCCTGACGTGGGTCCCTGGGCGGCGCGTGCGGATCCTGGGGGACCTGACGAGGATCCCTTGGCACGCGAGGATCCTGGGGCACCTGGCGAGGGTCTCTTGACGCGGATGAATCCTGGGCCGCCTGGCGAGGATCTCTTGGCGGCACGTGTGGATCCTGAGATGCCTGACGAGGGTCTCTTGGCCTCACATCTTGGGGCACCTGGCGAGGGTCTCTTAGCGGCACGTTTGAATCCTGGGGCACCTGGTGAGGGCCCCTTGGAATGTGTAGATGCTGGGCTACCTGATGAGGATCTATCGGCTTTTGAAAAGGGTCACAGCTGAGCGCCATGGTCTGCTCCACTGTGGACGCGGCGGATGGCGTCTCCGTCCTTTTACCGTTATTCTGGTCCATCGCCTGCATCTGTCCCAGTGTCGGGCCCTTAAATGTCACGGTGCCGGGGCCTTCTTTACCACAGGCCTCTCTATCGTCCTTTCCCTCTGGGTCTGGAGCTGTGCGTTGTTCCGCTTCCTCTCCGGACCGCCGGCGCTGCTGCTGCTGCTGCTGCTGCTCCCTCTGCTGCGGGGGCGGTGGCGGGGTTCGCAGTCGGGGGTCGGAGCGACTGGCCGCAGCCGGCGGTCTCTGCCGTAGCCGGGCGTAGTCCGTGCCGGAGGCCAGAACACCCGTCAGGCGCCACGGTAGGCGGACGCCGCCGGTCGCCACCGACGCGTCGATCTCGACACACGGCTGGAAGTGGACGGGTGCGAACGGCAGCGACAAGTCGTCAGTGCCCGGCCAGCGCGGTGTACCGGTCAGGCGCAGGTCTCGGTCTCCGCGGGGGAGGCTTAGTGCGGCTCGGGGCCGCGGAGAGCCCTCCCTGCAAAGACCAGTAGGGTGCAGAGGGCTGTGTCCAGCGCGCAGGCCCTCATCTCTGGAGGAAACATCCATATCCTGATATGCATGCTGGTCTCTCGAACGAAGCTTGGGCTGCGTTTTGGCGACCCTCACTCTCAAGTCTTCGTCTTTTGAATGCAAATCCTCGTCTCTTGGATACACATCCCCGCCACCGAAGCCGAACTTGTCTCGAGGTCGCATATCTTCATCCCGCAGCCTCAAGTCCTCATCGTTCGCCTGCGGACTCTCCGTCCAGTCGCTAGACGTATCCATCTGACAGGCACCGGAAGGGTCGCTGTCGGCCGTCCCTGGTGCTGCATCATTTCCCGGCGGGGAGCGATGCTGGCCGGTGCTTCGTGGAGAGCCCTGATGGACGCTGTAGTCATTGTCCTGAGCTGGGCGCAGAAGGCCGCTGTAGTCGGTGTCCGTAGTCGGGCGCTGCTGGCCACTGATGCCGGTGTCTTGAGGCGGGTGGTGCTGAACGCTCGAGTCCGGATTCTGCGACGGGGGCTCACCCAGAGACCTGGCGACCACAAGAGACGTGGTGAGAGGAGGATGCTCTAAGAGAATGGTCAATGGAACTATTTGAAACGGGAGACCCACCTAGTCAACATCACGTATTGCTCAACCGCAGTTTTTTCGATGTTATGTAGGACCATTGATTAGAAACCTACATTTCTATGAATAATGAAAGAGGATAAAAAAGATCAGACCACAGACTAGACATCTCTACACATAATTACTAGTGTCTTGGTGCAGAGTTCGGTACCAGCACAAGATCGACAGTCCACTCACACGGCACGGCCTATCACCTACCTCCAGTCCTCTTCAGTAGTGCTGTTCTGAATAGCCTTCAGCAGCTGGCTGATGGCCTCCACCGGGTCCATGGTGTCGTCATCTGCCGTACCAGTGACGTCATCCGCCGTACCAGCGACGTCATCGGCCGCTGCGTCACTGCCGTCGTCACCGCTGGTGGGCGTACCTTCCTCGCTGGTCGCCGGGGAGAACTTGGCCTCGATCGACTGCGTGGCGGTAATTGGGTGCAAATCACCTCTCGGGTTCACGCAATGAGCGGACCAGCGCAATTATGACTAATAATAGAACGGGACGATCGATGACCTATGCGTATGAGTCATATGTGATACCCCAGTGGGGAATCTTGAGGGTGCCTTTTTCGGATCCGGCACAAGTAACGGACAAATAATGCTCATTCTGCGAAAACTGCAGTCATTGATACGGAATCATATCGGCTCCACCGCGGTGGAGTACATATAACCCCATTCCAGGTACATAAACCAATTTACAACAAACTTCTCAGGTGCGAATGGCAAACGTCTTATGGCGTCAGCAGGGAAAGGAATCCGCTAATGGCAGAAAGAAAGGTCGTGGATCCAACTGAAAGAACGCGTGTAATTGATTTCATTCATTCCCCGTGGCTCTAAGCGGGACGCCGTTCACAATATGTGCCGACCCCTCCCCTGTCTACCCACCGGTCCCTCAGCGATACATACCTCCTCACTGATGCGTCTGAGGACGTCGGTGAGGGGCGGGCCGTCCTCGTCGCTCGAGTACCAGTGATCGTCGGCCGGAGGCGCGTCGTCGTCGGTCGGCTGTGGCGTCGGCTGTCGGGAAAGGACATCGCACCGGTTACGTCCGGTATGGGACGGATGGAGCCCAGTTGTGACACAGCCAGGCGGTACCCCGAGCAATCGAGCATAGTCATCATTCCTGACTGAAGGTGTGTCGGGGACGGTTACGTTTAAAATTTCTGTTCCATAGCTAGATAATTCTTCGAAGTTTCTTGCATTTCGGGCAGAACGTAACTGGCGTCCATGGAAATTTATAGCATGGTTACAGTTTACATACGACATCGCATAGACATCCCCTACCATTCTCACCTCTCTGGACCCGCTGAGCTGCTGCTGCTGGAGTCGGAGCTGCCGCAGCCGCCGGTCCACCGCCTGACCGAGCAGAACATCATCTGCTCCGGCCGCGCCTTCCACCGACACTCCCCCATCCAATACCGGGAGCTGCCCCGGCTGCCCCGGCTGCCCCTCTCCCCGCTCCCCGTCCACCTCCATGGGCTCCGCCGGCTCGCACACCGTCACTACCCGACGGTCTCGCGGACGGCGACGTTCGCCGTGACGCCGCCGACGCCGTCGCTCCGTGCCCCGGCCGCCCCGCTCGCCGTCGCCCGCCTCCGCCGCCGTGTCGCGCCGTGACCGCGACTCGCTCGATCGTCGCTCACGATGCGGCGGTGTCGCGGAACGCTTATCGGTGGCTGTGGAGGGAAGACAGAGGCGGGTTGATAATTATAACGACTATTCTGCACAGGGAGGCAGGTGATCGGTTCAGCCGGAATGAAAAGTTTGGAATGACGCGAAACGGGTTGGAACTGAGTGGGTATAAAATTGGCAGATAATAAAAGATATGCGTATTAAGGCCAACGACACTGCATTTTACGATAAAAATACTAATTTTGCGTTGGATTATCACTGAACAAAAATATGTAAATAGTGACACATCGTCTTGTCCAAACTCCATGACGTACAAAAAAGTCCTGTATTTTCCTGATGTAAGTACCGTCTGAAAACGAGCGTCATCCCGACAGTCGCGTTGAGCTTACCGATGTGCGTGAATCTGGTCCGCTCCAGGTTGGGGAAGGTGAAGTCCGGCTCCAGGCCCTTGCGCCGCTGGGCGAGCGCCACGTTGATGCGCCGCTGAGCCAGCGTGCGGTACATGCGAGGAAAGTCGCCCAGGATGTCCTCTGGCGCCGACTCGATGTGCTGTGCGAGAGGAAAAAGAGGCGAAACGTCAGCACCGAGAGGTGGAGTAGGTGTGCAGACAGTCACGGAACGGAAGAAGACGTACGAATGGCCGAATGTGCTGGATTTAGTGATTGCAACAACTTTGAAGTGATTGAATAGTGATTGAAAGGCGACTACAGAAGAAAGAACAAGTACATGCTTCAGCAATGGTGCAATGGTGCAAATAGGCAATGGTGCAAAGTCAAATGATGAAAGATAGGTTACGGAAAATAGCCTAATCGAGAAGTGTTGAGTGAAATAAATGCAACCATGCAGCTTGTCCCTGTTGTTAACTCTAGACGTAAAGAAGCCATAAATATGAAGTAATAAGTGGTTTACCTTCAGCAAGATGGACCGGGTGACGTCTGTGAGAGGTTCGTGGCTGAATTTGCACTCTGAGTCGGTCAAACACTGCGCTCCAGTGTGAAACAGTTTGCAGGGAAACGACTTGTGCAAGTAGGAGCAATGGTCGCGCTTGAAACAGCTCTCCCTGGCGTAAAATTTACATAGCTCCATCTTCTGGTATGGTGGAATAGCTTTGTGAGAGAAAAGACACTTCTTTCCCTGAAAGTAAATAGCACATGCTTATTGCTTACGCAGTATGTCATAGTGTCCTGCAAGAGTTTATGTTGCTTAAAGCAGTAAAAATGCAGTTGTGAAACAAAAATACAGGAGTAGAAGAAGCGTGGCAGCGTTAATCTGCAGTTAAGAAAAAGAAATGGACATGCATTAGAAAAAGAAGGTCGGACATGTTAACCAGTTTCCTAGAGCACTTCTATATCAGATGCGCCTACCTTGAAGCAGCTGCCTTGCATGAAGAAGCTGCAGATGGAGTCTGACTTGCGTTTGTGTTTGTCCAGGCGCCGTTTCTTGGGCCGATGTCCGGTGGCGCCGTAGCCCGGCTGGTACTGCTGGTAGTAGGTGCCGTAGTCCATTGTCACGACAGGGTCGTAGTCGGACCACTTCGGCCACTCGCACTGCACCGGCGAGGCGCCGCGCACGTATACACTGGAGTCGTCGTCCAGCAGCTCGGGCGAGCAGGGCCGCTGCGCAGACACCGGCCGCGGGGGTCAGCGACACAGCTCGGGTAACAAGGCAGACGGGTGACCTGCGTATACGGAATTCTGTTCTGACAGCTACCGCCACGGAACGTGAGAAATTAGCAAACGCCACGCGTGCGCCACGCGTTCAACAGCGGACCCGATGACTCTGAAAATGACCACCCTTTCCGGGTGCTGCGGCTGTCGCCCCAGGCGGTAACTGGTCTGCGTTGGCCGTTGGGGTCACGTTCACCTGCGCCCCGGACAATTCACTGACGCCACGGAATATTTACCGGTGATCGGTCAAACATGGGTCATATAAGAAAAACAAACGTGACAATTTGATGAGGTACGGGACAACTGAAGAAACAAACTTATGTATGCTTATGGTATGTACTGGTATGTTTGGCGTAAATCGTACTCACCTTTTCTGCATGTGCTTCTTTGGAGCGCCTTTGTCGCTTTTTGTCACTTCCGGTCTTTCTTGTCACTTTATTTGGACTGGCATCACGGCTATCTCCTCCACTGATAGCTTCCAGTTCTTCCAGTGCGGGAATTACATGCTTGGCGACCTCCAAAAACTCCTCTTCGATCACAGCGTCGTCATTATCGGCCGCCGTTTCGACGCTGCCGTCCTCTCCACCTGCCTCCAGTTCTCCGTCCTCCAGCTCGCCCTCCTCCAGCGGCCCCTCGCCCTCAGTATCAGCGCCGCTCGCCGGACTGGGCCCCGGTACATCGGCGTCCCCGGTGGGTGAGTCGCCGTCCAGACCAGACCACAGCACAGAGTCGTCCTCCCGGGAGCCGCCGTCACCGCCCCGGTCGGCGCAGAGATCCTCCTCCTGCGGAGTCCGGACAGGGCTGGAGGGCAGCAGAGCGGCCCGGCCCTGCCACGGCCCGCTCTCGGCACAGCGCAGACCCCAGTCGCCGCCGGCGCCGCCGTCGGCACAGCTCGGCTGCGACGATGGCCCGTTGGACATGTCGATCTCCAGTCTCTCATCGTCAGAGTCCATCGCCGTCAGACCCTGTCACAAGATGCAGACACCATAGGAATCCCCACATCGCTTAATAATGTCCAGGCACTACGAGTCAGCAACATTTTACCTAAATCCAGATTTTTCGTTTTCATGTAAAACCCTAAGCGATGTCTCTGTTTTTACAATAAATAACAAAAAAGAAACAATTGATGTGACGTCTTAACTGATGAATTGATAACAGGCAACGTGAAAACAAAAGCTTCAAGAAACAAGAAGTTTCGGCAAATAGTCTCTTGAAATTTTACTACGCATTGTGAGTAAACATATCATTTACCGTAAAGTGGGGCTATTTGAAACGGATTTTACAGTTTTTGGCCTCTCCCTTTAAGACGGTTCATCTTTCTTATAGCATGTAAATTGCAAAAATGTAGTTCTCTGTGAGCTCTTTCATATAGGTGCATTTTGGTTCAGCTAGTAATAATGATTAAGGTTATTTTTTATGTTAAAGCCTGTTTCAAATAGCCCCATAGGGTGGGGCTATTTGAGACAGTTTTAGTTGCAAAGAAATTTAAGAAAATCGGTCGCACTAGAGATAATTTTTTAAGCGCCATGCATTTGGAAATTGAATTTTGATCATTTTGGCAAAAATTGTTTTTTTTCAAAGACTGTTATATGACCTTTATATTCAATCTTTTCCTTTTTCGTAGGACACTTCATTTCGGTAGGGTATAAAATTGCATCAGTATATGCTAAGGCTATCATAATATGGTGTGACCCATAGCTTTCAAAATGACAGGATGATCATCAAGGACTATTTTAAAGTAATCGACACTAAAATTTTGAAAGTAAGTTTTTGTATATACCCCATAAAGTGACGTGAAAACAGATATACCGAAAGTCGGTGGGGCTATTTGAGACAGTCTCGCTACCTTATGAAGCACACTGTAATGAATCAAACAAGGCAAAAGTTTTCCGAAAACATTTGAGTGAATGGTCTGCATGATTGTATGTTCCATTGGACATCTCCATGCGAAGAAATAACAGAAAAATGTTAAACGGTTTTGATTTTATGCCAATTTTCCTCGATCGCTGCATGCTGTATCAATTGGCCGGTTACCCTACCACATCGAGTACTTGGATAGGCTCACCTAACAGTACGTTCATGCGTTAAGTAACAGTCAATGGTGTTTTTTGGTCAACCAAGGTAGACATATGTTGATTGTCGACTGAGTCAGTGACTGATGAAACACATTTTAAGCACATATTCATCAGAATAACTAGTTTGGTCACCAGCTAAAGGGTCATTATGTTACACTACGATCATGTAAATATTGCTTGCTGCTTGAAGTACCTACCATGAACCCACTGCACGTTTATGACCACGACCGATTCACCGGTGATGCTTATGTCGAACGTTCGATGCACTTCAGGTAGATGGCGGTAAGTCTTCTCGGGTGCATCGCATCACCGTTATCATCAGCTATTTGGCATATCCGTTGAGGTTTGACCAGGTGGGCATCATCGGGATTCTGAGACAATGGGTTACGCAATCGGCAGTACCGTTGACAATATATAATATTTTCATGAAAAATGTGCTTAGCCTATAAGCAAAAAGGTAGTAACGATGGATACAGTGGCGAAGCTGTTAAAATTTCAACTTTTTTAAGCTGCAGGTAGGGGTCCTTTTCGAACAGCTTAAATTGTGCGTTTTTCTGTATTTCGTATTTTATTGCAAATTTTTTCAGAACTTTTCGAAAGTTTCAAAAAGGTTATTCAGAGCATTCACTGTTCAATTCCACATTAGCCTAAGCAACAATGACGAAAAAACATCAAACGGTTTTCATTTTAAAGCGATTTTACTATACCATTACCTTACTGTCTCAAATAGCCCCACTGTCTCAAATAGCCCCACTTTACGGTACATTAAATGCGAACGACAATAAACCAACATTAGTCAATTTTAAAAACGATCATTCAGTTGACTTTTTTGCCAATAAGTAGCTATTCATGTTTTATTTTTTTCCGATGTAAGATACTTATCTATAGTTTTTTTTTTCGCCTATAACTTTTTACCTAGTAAAGATAGAGCAAAAATAAAAGCACGCGTGAACTCAGCACGTCCGTGCGCATCGAAAGATGTAGGCACTTTGTTACGAATCTAAGTGAACATAAAATTTTTCATGAAATTCAATTGAACTTCAAGTAATTAATTAAGTTTAACTTAATCAAAATGCATCATATCGCATATCATTCGAACTGCCTGATCACAAGGAACACAATTACAACATTTATGAAGCTCTAGCCTTATTGTGTGCCAAGTTATTAGTAAAAAATTAATTTGATCTTAGTTGACCTAAGTTGACCCGACCCTAACGTTTTTGCGCCTTGCAAACACTAACACCAAGTAGATGTAAATTAAGGTAGTACAACACTTTTAAAATAGAGCACAAATCCCTTATCTTTACACATTCGGACAAATTTCCTTTAAAATTGTCATGACCTCTAGATGACCTCAGGTCAACCGAATTTGAAAAACTGGGGTGCATATGATGGCACTCGGTGGCCTAAGCATATCCTGCAAGTTTGAATCAAATCGATGAAGAACTCTAACTTTCATGAATCATGAACAAAATAGTGCATTTTTAGTTGACAATGTACCGGTTTTTGTTACCTTGTGACCTGACCTCAAGTCACTGGAATCTAAAACTCCCAGGTCATGTGACAAATAGATGCCTTAAGTTGTGTCTGAAATTTGGTAGCACTACGTTCCATAACACCCACGCTAGCAACGAAGAACTCTGGCATTCAGTTGCCGCTAAACTAGTCCAATTTTCCCCTGACCTTGTACCGGTTTTTGTGACCTGGTGACCTGACCTGAAAAGACTGGGATCTGAAAGTTTCAGGATAGGTGCGGAAAGATTGCCCCTGAGGCTATGCCAAATTTGACGGCGCTACGCGCCGCCGTTTTTACTTTATTTGCGAAAAACCTTATGGGGGGGGGGGGGTTGCATCAACCCCCCTCGCCGGGCGAGGGTTACCACTTTATGTGGTTGCTACATTATTATTTACCTATTTATTGCCCTCGGTACGCCTCGGGCAATAAAGCAAGTTTCAGTCTTCACCCTCGGGCTACAGTGACGTCACATCGGTTAATAATTTTTACTATTGCCTGCTATCCCGTACAGCATTCCTATAATGTACAACAATGCCCGAATCTCGCGTGATAAAAAATAAAATAAACGGACTTTTTACTACGCGCTGGTTAATTCATACTGAATGTCACGCGGGTCGCTACATTCAGAAGAAAATCGAAACAATTTTTATCGAGACTTGAGCAGGGCTTGAGGCTGGTTTGCGGCTATATACGGCCTTGGTTTGCGGTCTATGACCGTGGTTTGAGGATTTGTATGTAGGGCCTTGGAGGTTTTGAGTCATTTGAGTTAATGAGAACTAATTGGCCTTTCTAAGTACCTAACGGTCAATGGTACCTATATCATTTGCGAGTCAAAAATTAATTCATTAAAAAAATCGGTCCATGGAGGACTTATGATCTTCGTTACCAAAAACATAATAGCCGTTTTCACGACAGTCGACAGGTTATCTGGTGATTTTCAAGACGAATCAAGTCATCCAAGATTGTTCTATTTACTTTGCGTAGATTTACTCGTACTGCAACCCATTTAGGCTGTAAAACAAATGAAGGCAGATAAGGACACCTGGGGCGTTCCACGACAAATCGACAAATAAAAAATTAAGTTTGCACCCTCATATTTTATTCTTCGTTGAAAACTGGTGTAAGGGGTTGTGATAGGCGGGGAAGCCAGCTGTGGCAAGGATTTTTTTCTTCGAACAACGGTTTCCGAGATATAGCCTCGGGCAATTCCTGGAGTTCGCGCTGCAGCCCTATGTTTGGCGGCCTATAACTCAGAAACTATTGTTTTCTACGATACAAACTTTATATGGTTCAACAGACAATCAACTAACAAACATTTTGGCTATCTCGGATTTTCAATTTTTGAAAATTTTGATCACGTGACCTTTTGTCCTATTTTTCGAAGAGTGACCTTGATATTTTCCCCACTGAAAGTTGCAATTTTGTCTGATGACGATTAAAGTCTTATCAAGTGTCATTCATATGCGATAATAAGAAAAGTGGTTATCGCCCTGCGTTGACCTCAGGTCAGGTCATTTTTATGACCTGTCCATTATTACGAGCGGGAGCGACAGCGAGATCTCGAGAATAAAGCAAGATAGCGACAAACGGTAAACGGTAAAGGGTACACACGGATAAGGTCTATAATTTTTACTGAGGTCATTTTCAGGTCAGGTCAAAGATGACGTCACAGGAGCTAAAAGGAAGTCAAAATAGCGGCACTATACATATATATGAAGTTTTTCTCGAATAACTTTCAAGGTATCCCAGCTAGGAACAAACTAATAGCACCATCGTGATCCTTTCGTCGATCCGCATCGAAACATAGGTATTTTGACCTCGAAAGGTCGAAAGATCAAAAGTTGACCTTAGGTCACGTGATCTAAGGTCAACTTTTGACCTTTCGACCTTTCGAGGTCAACATACATATGTTTCGATGCGGATCGACGAGAGGATCACGATGGTGCTATTAGTTTGTTCCTAGGTGGGATACCTTGAAAGTTATTTGAGAAAAAACTTCAGATATATGTATAGTGCCGCTATTTTGACTTCCTTTTAGCTCCTGTGACGTCATCTTTGACCTGACCTGAAAATGACCTCAGTAAAAATTATAGACCTTATCCGTGTGTACCCTTTACCGTTTACCCTTGTCGCTATCTAGCTTTATTCTCGAGATCTCGCTGTCGCTCCCGCTCGTAATAATGGACAGGTCATAAAAATGACCTGACCTGAGGTCAACGCAGGGCGATAACCACTTTTTTTAATATCGAATATGAATGACAATTGATAAGGCTGTAATCGTCATCAGACAAAATTGCAACTTTCAGTGGGAAAATATCAAGGTCACTCTTCGAAAAATAGGACAAATGGTCACGTGATCAAAATTTTCAAAAATTGAAAATCCGAGATAGCCAAAATGTTTGTTGGTTGATTGTGAGTTGAACCATATAAAGTTTTTATCGTAAAAACCAATAGTTTCTGAGTTATAGGCCGCCAAACATAGGGCTGCAGCGCCAACTCCAGGAATTGCCCGAGGCTATATCTCGGAAACCGTTGTTCGAAGAAAAAAATCATTGCCACAGCTGGCTTCCCCGCCCATCACAACCCATTAGACCAATTTTAAGCAAAAAATAAAATATGAGGGTGCAGGGCACTTGTCGATTTGTCGTGGAACGCCCCACCTGCGGGCGTTAGCATTTATCAGATACCATGTAAGCCTCTGTAGACGTTTCAGGGATGCGTCATGCGTCTGAGCCCTTCTCTGCGTTGCAAGTAGACGTCATATGCCTTCATGCCGGTCTCTCTTCGGAAGATATGTTTCATATGGAACCCGATTATTTGATGTTACATGTCGGCGTAATAAATCCCTAATTCTTCGTGTTTCTCTGGTCAATTACCTGATAAAGTGGCTTATCGTGCAGCATCCCCCAATTGATGTCAACGGGTTAGCACTTAGCAGCGGTTGCATACGATCGACAAAGCGACTACGATAACGTAACGCACCAGATGTAAAAGGCCTGCAATGTGGGCCGAGATGCAACAGAAAACAAAAAAATATTTAAATATAGGAAAAAGACGGGCAAATCTGACAGTGACAATCAGGGTCCGCAGCAAACACCTAGCGGGTGATCTGAAAATAGTCATATGCAGTCTCGGCTAAACTGAATATGATCACGAACACTTCAATAGAATATTCTATACAGCCCATTCTCGCATGGCGTGGTGCCGTACAACACTGGGAAGATTTCTTACTTAAATTATCCAAAGTCTTCGTTCGCTATATATACAAGTTGGATACAGATTTCTTTCTGTATAAAAGCTTCAGCAATCAGCAGTAAAGATAGAAGACTTTCGAAATGCAGCCAATTCTGTAGACAATTTTTAAGTGATGAGCGCGAGACTTTTCATCTCGAGTCTCTATACTAATAATACTTCTTGCTGGAGATAGCCAAGTAGATACATGAATTCAACATGAATTCAATCAACAAGAGATAACCCGGTATAAGAGCATGAACATTACTTTTCCATAGGGTAAATGTATTATCTATGAATCCTTGAAGTCGTAAGAACTAGAGGTGGCACAAGGTGAAAATTTTGGGAACCAGATTCGGACCAGACCCCACTGGACATTTCTGGAACCAGTCGGACCCGGTCTAAATTGGAATCGGAACCAGTTGGACCCGTTCCCCAAAAGTCATATTAGCCGTTTTCACGACGGGCTATCCAGCGAATGCACCTAATTTGACCAAATCTGCACCTAATCTCTTTCACAGCAAATATCTTCATTTTATGAATTTATTTCAATGTTTTAATCGATAATACTCTCTGATATGACAAAGCAAGCAGGCATATAAGCAATTAGTGCAACCCTAGCTGATAGCTTCTAAGAGACACACTGAACCTAACTTGACCAAATCTGCACCTAATCTGCACCAAATCTGCAACAAATGTGTACCAGATGGCCGTCGTGAAAACGGCTAATATAAACTATTTGTAGGTATCATAAGTTGCATCCTAAAACACCTTTTTCCCACTGGGAATACTCATGAGCCACAGTGTGCAAAGAAACATAGGTACACGAGTAAATGTTTTCTTTCCATTCACTTTATATTTTGCAATCATGTGTAGTGTGCAAGATCAAGATGTATGGTTTGTGGTAGGACCTGGTTGGACCCGTCAGAAAATTTCCAGGAACCGGTCTCGACCCATGTGGGTCCAGACTGCTTCTTTGGACTGAGTCCTCGGGTCCACATTTTGCCACCTCTAGTAAAAACATGTCATTCAGTTGAGTCCGATCCGAGTCCGATAAGTCCTATCAGAGTTCGATGGGTCCGATCAACCCTCGTATTTATAGGGGTGGGATGTACCTCCCCTCCCTCCAGGTTTTTCGCAAACAACTCGCGAAAAGAGCGACTATAATAGTCGCGACAACACATCACATTTAGTAGGTACCCTCGAGCTTAGCCATTTTACACATACCCTGAAGACTTAATGACATTGAATCAAATGACCTTTGACCTGTGATCCTTTTCTCGAGATTATGTCAGGCCGCATTTGCGATTCGGCGATTGTCGGTGCACATTATCAGTACGTTTCCAGACTTTTTTATTGTAATCCAGATTACAAACGCACCCCCCTCCCCCCAAGGTTTTTCGCGAATGACGTAAAAACGGCGGCGCGTAGCGTCGCCAAATTTGGCATGCCCTCTGGGGCAACCTTTTGGCACCTTCCCTGTAAATTTCAGGTCTCTTTCATTTCAGGTCAGGTCACCAGGTCACAAAAACCGGTACAATGTCACTTGCCAGGGTAAAATTGGAGTATATCAGCGGCAAAGGAATCGCTGAGTTTATCGTTAATACTTAATAGCGTAAGAACCGTAAAACATAGGACCACCAAATTTCAGACACAACTTAAGGCAGCCATTTGACACATGTATGAGTTTTGTGTTCCAGTGACCTCAGGTCAGGTCACAAGGTCACACAAACCAGTACATTGTCAAAATGACACTGAAAATACGCTATTTTGTCAATGAAATCTAAAGTTGTTCATCGATTTGATTCAAACTGGCAGGGTATGCTAAACTCACCGGGTTGTATACCCTACATCCAGTTTTTTTTTCAAGTTCGGTTGACCTGAGGTCATCTGGAGGTCACGACAAATTTTATGAAAATGTCGTGTCCGAATAGCTCAAATTGTAAAAGCATGCTCCCTTTCAACCTTTTTGTGTTATTTTAGCTACAATAAGGATAAATTCGGTGTTTGCTCGCTGAAAAAACCTTAGGTGTCATCTGAGGTCAAATGAGGTCAAACTACGTTTTTGCTAATACCTTCGCACACAATGAGGCTAGAGCTTCAAAAATAGTGTCATTGTGTTTCTTGTGATCAGCCGAATCGAATGATATGCGATATGAGGCAATTTGGTAAGTTGAACGAAGGAAAATTTTAAGTTCGCTTAAACTTGTAACAAAGTATACCATTCGATGCGCACAGACGTTCTGAGTTCACTGGTGCTTTTGTTTTAGCTCAATCTTAATTAGATCAAAAGTTATAAGCGAAAACTTTTGGCCTCTTTTAGCGAAATTTTTACACTTATTCCCCCTAAACCCCCTGAATATTGACCTACGTCCTACAGCAACTACGTAAATTTGCACAAGGGCGAGATCTACGGGCCCACCTACCCTGTAAATTTGGTGTTTTTAAGCGCCATAGGAGCCAATCGCCGGGGGGGGGGGGGGGCGTATCAACCCCACCTGGCCGTCCGCGTTATGAAAAAGGCCCTGGCCTGGCGAGGGTTAACATGTGAAATGAGGTTTGTTCCATGCATTATGGTGGGTGTCAAGGTCACTTGAAGGTCAGGTCAATGACATTGACCTTTGGCGACTTCGGGTGGCTTTTTCGAGTTTTAAATACTACTTTGTAAGGTATATTTTTTGCTTCTGAGTTCGAATTTGGGATCTGGAATATGGGATCAATTGAACATTTGAGGAGTTTTGGTGCCTGTGAAACATGTTACGAAGCACGAAGCAGTCAATGGTGGTTTCTGTGAAACATGTTACGAAGTACGAAGCAGTCAGTGGTGGTTCCCCTACAGCACGTAAGATATCGACGTTTGGTGGGAGGGTAGGGGCCAGGGGGCGAATCAGCCATAGGCAACACCGGCCACCTGCAGAGTTGTGTACTGGCCTTGGAGGGCGTCTTCCATGTAACAAGAACCATGTGACAAGAAATTGAGTTGACCGCCGAGCACTGATCAGTAGAACTGGAACCGAATACCGATGCACTGAGCAGTACAACCAACTCGGTCCCCACTCCACGCTACCCTCGCCCCTCCCTTCCCCACACACATACCCGTAACCCACAGGGAAAGGAGAAACACAGCGGCCTTGATGTTCGGCTGGTACAGAACATTTTCTGAAATGAGCGCGAAAACACATGAAAAGGGACACAAACATGTCACTGGTAAACAAAATCGCCACAAATGACAGTCAGTCTTGTTCTCAATTCTGGAAAAGGAAGGGCATCAGCATGCATCTGAATTCTGAGTTCCTGAGCTGAACCCTGTGGGAGATTGGTCAATACTCAATTTGGCATTGGCCAAACCGCAGTGCACATTCAGATATCGGTAGGTATCCGTTTCCTATTTACCATCCTCCATGCTGGATTCCTTGCTCCAAACTGCTCCAGCCTAGGACTGAAAAGTCACCCCACACGCAGTCAGCAGTCTTGCGGCCTCGTGACCTCGTGACGAGCGTGGTGAGGAGAGCTGCGCGGCCACGCCACACACGTGGCGCTCGGCGCTGTAAGCAAAGACACAGACTGCAGCCTATGTGACTGCCTATTATTGCTGGTCTAAAACCGTCGCTAAGTGCACATTGCACATTATTGTAAGCGAAGGAAAGATCCCCCAACCCCAACCCTTCACTCGAGAACTGCCACGCGCCGCGTCTCAAGAGTTCAGTCAAGACGGACACAATCAGCTGATTTGTTTACAGTAAAGATGAGCAAAGTCCTGTGGTGTAAAAAAAGCAATGTAAATGACCATGGTTATAATGGATCGTTTGAGAAATCCTTAATAGAATAATGGAATAAAAAAATATGTGATACATATTAAAATCATTGTATTCCTAATCCCCCGTAAATCCCATGTCGCATTTTTTTTTCTGGAAGACTTGATAAATTAGAGTGGCAACTTTTAGTGAAAATTTCAGACTCAAGACGATGAGCCTTCGAATCACGTCCGATGATCCATTCGATCACCGATGAAAGTATCCACGAGAGCTACATCTTGAGCTAATGAACTGAGCAAACAGCGACGCGTAGGTAGGGTGTGTGTGAGTCTTTCAAGAGTTGTCAGCGAAAAAGACGAATTTCGCCGTCTCAAGGTTCCGCGAGCGAGTGCTAATTTGCAGTTTTTCCCGCTCGATACTCAGCCATTTCTCAGAATGCGTCCTTACAGCATGAGCTTATGGTTGACTATCTAATCTAGCCACCCTAGCCACCCTACCATACCATTGCTTGGTGAGAGGCCTGGTGGATCCAATGGAGCATCTAGGCCATATGACTCCCCGCCGTGTCGGATAATGACATCACCGTTTCCTGCCACCTCTCACAAGATCTACTCATGAAATCCGTGGAATCCGTACCATTCGATAGGCTGAATATAGGATTACTGCACTAATATTCCAAAGCACAATCTGATACTGTATGTCCAGTTCACTGTTTCTTTCGTCGTGATCTCGCGGGCCCAGAGGACCGTGTTGACTTTCGAGACGAGTCTGTTAGCTCTCCATGATCCGACGCAACCACACCAATGCAGTCCGGTACTCGTGTATCGGCCACCACCCAGCCACCCCGTCAAACTCTCGGCGTATCAACACGTTACTTTATTGACGCCTCATACGGCGCGCGTCGGCCGCCCGCTGCGCCGACCCGACGCGCACCGCCGGACAAAGTTCGGGCGCCGGCGGGACGCGAACCCTCGACCTCTCAGTCGCCGCGCGCGTGCCGCCGCAGTCGGTAGGACGGCGCCGCACCTGCCAGCGTCTGCCATTGCACATCTACATCCGGTCGGCGCGCGTGGCGCCCGCGCGCACATGTATAATATGGATCCCTCCGCCACACGGGTGCTCACAATATCGCTAATTATGCACGCGATTTATCAACAGAACTAAGAACCGCCTCTGGCAGCGTAAATCATCACTTCCCGTCGGCCAGGTCCGATTTCACACACCCCAAACAGGACCGCGCGAGAGCGCGCGCGCCAGCACGCTTCTGATGAGAGGCCCGCGCCGCGCGGCCCGCCCGCCGCAGCCGCGCGCATCTTGAGCCACACCTATGATATAGCATGTGCGCGAGTCGAAAGGCTCGCCCGCGTCCGCGCAGAAGCAAGCACCGCGCCGCTAAGCCTAGATCAGCGACACAATCGCGTTAGTAGCACTGGGGATTTGCACGTGGCTATGCGTATATGCGTGTGTCCGTCCGTTTATCTCTCTCTGTCTCCTCCGGGGTGTGGGTATGCGGTGCAGCGATCTTGTATGTATCTACATCACCGGTCTCGCGGTGGCAGCGCTGGCTGTGACCCGGTCCTCCAGCCGCGGCTCCTCAAATCTTGTTGACCTTTTCGCCAACGATGACGGGGTTGTTTTTGCGGATCTCGTGTTGTCCGTGCACGCGGTAGTCGAACGAGCAGTCGTGTTTGTCGCTGTAGCGGTGCAGCGAACAGAACAGGCCGTCACAGCGGCACGTGAATCCTGCCGGAGGGGGGGGGGGCACGGGTCAGATTCAGTCACCGCTGGGTCAGCGGGCTCCACAGTCTAACGAGGCACGCGAGGACACCCCACACTGCACTCAGTGACTCACACAGCAGTAAACGGACGGCGCCGATCGCGTGGCAAGGGTGGGGTTATCTAGCGCACATCGGGGTCATCAGAGTCAGACTTCCAGGTCCAATGGAGTCACGGAAGTCACACAGGGTCATCAAGGTCCCAGGGATCACAAGGGATTATCAGGGGTCACCTGGACTCCACGGTGAAGGACGGGTCAGGCTGCACGGTGCAGCACGGGTCGCCTGGCCCATCTAGAGTCACACATCGGTGAACAATGGGTAGCCAGGCTCACCGGAGTGAATGGGACCACACGACAAGCAGTCACAGGGTCATACGGAGTCATGTGAGGTCAAGGGAATGGCACAGGATCAGACGTGGTTACTAGTCATGGGTGTCATACGGGATCAAACATCGGGATCTAACGGAACACCGGGATCACACGAGGTCACAAGTGGCTGTAATAATCACGAGTCAAACACTGAAATCTGCCGGGGTCAATGGGGTCCCGCGGGGTCAGCAGGTCCACGAGGGCCACCGGGCGACACTCTGGCGTGGTGCCAGCCGCCGGCGTCACCGACCGGCAGTGGCGGCGGCCCTCGTCAGCTGACGAAACAAACAGCGCCCACCGCCGCGCCGCCGGCCAGGGGTCAGAGGGAAGCTCCAGGCGCGCCGGCGAGACATTCCATCCCGGGGGCCGACCGGGGAGTCGGTGCGTCACAGACGGGTGAGGCCGCGCCGATCGACAGGTGGCTCGCACGTGACGAGGAGGCGGCTATCGTCACATTCCGAAATAACGACCCTAGTGCAAGAACCGACACGGAGCTGGATTACACTTCACCGAACAGACTCCCGGCCTGAACGGTAAATGGCCGCAGGCGTTACACTGGTTATATCTTGGAACAAAGACGTGCAGATCGATGGTCACGTGTAATCCACACCGAACAAAACTGAGAACCGTGTCGGAAACGGCCGATGGAGGGATGGGAGGGGTCACAGAATACCAGGCCGGCACGCTCGTAATGAATCACAGGAGCAGCTAATGGTTCCAGCTACCGGACACCCGACCTCGGGTGCAGTGATGACACCGCCCCGAGCGGTGCGCCTCAGGTCGGACTGGTGACCGGCCACGGCGAGCACAGCGCTGCTGTGGTTTTGGTGTTGGACTGTGTTCTTTCGGACGTCTATTGAGACCATTTCAAGGCCGTGAGATGAGAGGACTAGTAGGGGACATTGCCCTGAGTCGACCAATGACTGCTGTACTGTAGCGGTCGAGTACATCCCGTTAGAACGAGATCCTTGGAAGAACATGATTCCTTTCCGCTCAAACGGTCGCCTTTGTGATACGCTCTCATCCGCTAGTCTGATGGGGCTAGTCTGTAAAAGGGAAGTGTGATCAAAGATGATGAAGGTTATCTTGAAGAATCTTGATGAATGTTTAGTCCTGAGTATAACGAATTACATCCAACTCACAGCCGGTGACTGAGGTTGCCCCAACTGCACCGTGCACCCACACATACATTTGTGAGCCGTTTCGGGACACGTCAGCAGGGGCAGGCCAGGGACCCCACCCCATGCCCCTGCCTCTCCGCGGGTGACTAGGGGCATGGGGGGGGAGGAGGCACGCCCGCCGAATGGTGGGGATTACCGTGCATGTGCTAGAATAACAGGGCGATCACAATCCCCTTCCCAATTCAGGATGATATGGCACCATGATACAGGGGCTGACGTACCCACTGTTCCAAGGACACCAACAAAGGATACAGACGAGATGAAACAACAGGAAATGACAACACAATACACTTCACCAGTGTGTTTGGCTCCTGACTCAGTGACCCACAAACAAACATGACTCAGCACTCGCACCTGTAGCTGATTATCACTAAAACCACGGATGTCCTACGCAGTAAGCCATCAAACACCATAGAACAACACAGCTCCAGAAGACATCACAACGTTACACTTCCGCACCCCCTGCCACCCAGTAGCCAAGAAGTACAGCGCGTCGGCACGTTCACTTACCGGTGAGGCCGACCTTCTTCCTGCAGACGTCGCAGCGGCTCTTCTTCTTCTTGGCAGCCGGGTCAGCGGGCGAGGCGGCCGCAGAATCGAGGCCCGACTCCGCCTGTGTAGGGACCTGACGGCGAGACACGAGCGGACACGGAGTCAGTGAGAGCAGCCCAGCGGATGCACGTCATGGGGGGGGAGGGGCACAGGAGGATACGAAGCATTTTGAAGCATGATCAAGATAGAGGATGACATAGTGTCAAGTCAGTGACAGACAGTGGCATAAACCGAGTCACAACAATGGTAAATGCGCCATTGACCTCAGTTATTTCAGGTGACAGATCACGTGACAGGGCGGGGGGGGGGGGGCAGAAGGCTATAGGTTAACACGTAACTGCGCGGCAGGCGGTGTCACCACAAGCTGCTAGCTACGGTATGTCATCAGCCGGAACAACGAAGCCAGCTTGCATGCCTAGCTTAGCCATGTTTGGCTCTGCTCTTGTAAAAGAATATACCAAAACAGCATGAGAAACACACTGCACCGCTAAAAGCATCGCATTATTAGGTTGTGTGATGTTTAGCTAAAACTAGTTACATACCTCAGTGACAAGTGACAAAACTGACACTCATGAACTGCGTCTCTAAAACTCAAGGCACATGAACCGCGCAGCCCACTGGTGGGCCCGTCACAAAGACAGTTCTCTCCTCGTCTCAGTGTTCGGCGTGCGTCTCACCTGTGCATCTGGCTGGGGCGAGGCGCTGGCGGCGGTGCTGGCCACGGCCGGCAGCACGGCCACCGTGGGCTGCGCCGTGCTGGTGCTACTGCTGGCCGCCAGCAGCGCGCTGGTCTCCTGCAGTACCTGGCTCAGCGGCGCGCCCGAGCCGGACGACTGGCCTGAGGAGAGGGGAGAGGTGTCATGGTGAGTAGCGCCCGAGCCGGACGACTGGCCTGAGGAGAGGGGGACAGGTGTCATGGTGAGTAGCGCCCAAGCCGGACGACTGACCTGAGGACAGGAGAGAGGTGTCATGGTAAGTGGCGCCTGAGCCGGACGACTGACCTGAGGACAGGGGAGAGGTGTCCTGGTAAGTGGCGCCTGAGCCGGGCGACTGGCCTGAGGATACACGGAGA